GGATGAGGATCTTGAATTCGATCCTCTGGGGGATGAGGAGCCAGTGGAGGCGAGCGAGGGTGGGAGTGATGTGGTCGCGAAGCCTGGTGCGGGACAGTACACGAGCTGCAGAGTTCTGAAGGGTTTCAGCAGCTATTTACATGGGATAGGGATAAATGTCGGTAATGCGGCAATTGTGAATATAAGCGGTCTTGGTCAGGGACCAAACATGCGGAAGGAAGGAGAGCTGAGAATCAAACATCAGCAGAACACTGAGTAATATTTAAAACTTTTGCATTCACTACCAGCCATTTACAATGTTTGACTACAAAATACACATCGTTACACTTTGTAGTATAAGCTGTGAAGCACTTTGACAAGCCCTACCAGTATCAAAGGCGCTATATTAAATGTAAGGATTACTATTTATTATTATTACTTATAGCAACAACTTGCACTTATACACCACCTTATAAACATAGTTAAATATCTCAAAATGCTTTACTGAAATGTGAGTCAAGCGGGGTAGAAGATGGGGGAGGGGGATGGAGGGAGGGAGAGTGTGTTTGGTAGAAGGGAGATGATCAAAAGCACAGTCAAAGAACAACAACAACTTGCATTTATATAGCGCCCCTCATGCAGGGTGCGCCCCAGAGTGCTTAAAGCAAGTAGGTTTTTAAAAAGGTTTATTATTACATCTTTTACAGATTTTAAGGGTGTTTCTATAATTGTGAGACAGAGGCATTGGTCACAATTATATAATGGAGGGAGGCATTCTTATGCATATGAAAGGAGGTAATAAAGTGGAGTGTGAACACGGGTATATAACATCACCTGACTTGTACAGCAATAAATGCAGGTGACAGTTTGGCTCTGTTGGTAGCACTTGCACCTTTAGGTCAGAAAGTTGTGAGTTGAAATGTTGGGACTTGAGCTCGTGGTCTAGGCCGGCACGCCAGTGTAGTGCTGACAACTTCTGGTGTCATGGCCAACAATCTAGCAGATGAGTTGATCATTCGCCTCGGGGCTGTTTGTAGGATATTGCTGTGTGTAAATGCTTCTGCTTTTGCCTACTAGAAACTACACTTTACATAAGTTCTTTAAAGCCCTTTAATACGTTGCAGGCATGGTAAAAAATGCAAATTTGTCTACTGTAGTACTTAGTTCTGTACACACCAGCCTTATTGTTAACAAACAATGCTGCAGCTATTTACCATCTTTGACTCAGCTAGTGAAGGACACAACGTGAATCATTACGCTGCCTCTTTGTAGATAAGAGGAAAATATTGGGCTGCACCTCTCCCATCATACCAGACACCTGCTTCCTCTGGGCTAACCATGAAGCATCCCTAACTAAAATTATGAAGAGAGTCTGCCCTTCCATTTAACAGTGTGTCAACCTGGCTCAGCTGATTGCACTTGAAGCCTTGAGTCAGAAGGTTGTGGGTTCAAGACCCATGTCAGGAGTTTGAACTCACATAGTCTAAAGTGACACTCAAACGCAGTCCTTGGGGTGTGCTGTATTGTTGGAGGTTGCTGTTCTTCTGATAAGACATTAAACTGAGGCCCCATCTGCCTATTCAGGTGGATGTTAAAGATTTTATGGCATTATTCGTAAAGCAAAGGGAGATTCTCCCAGGGTTCTGGTCAAAAGTCCCCCAAATAAAATTGATCATTCACTCCATGGCTGTTTGTGGGATATTGCTGTCTGTAAATTAGCTGTCATGTTCACCAATAACATAGTCACACCACTTTACAATATATCCTTGAAGCACATTCTCCCGACATGAAAGGCGCCTATCAAATGTAAGGATTATTATTATAACAGCTTGAGTGGCAAGAGACAACATTATGTACTAAAATGTTATATGTCTTTGACAAATCAAAGCTTCAAAAGATTGCAGAAAATGGGGTTTAATTTATGATATTTTTGAACTGGTTTCCTTTGTATTCCCATCGACATGTGGGATCTCCACTCTGGAAATACATTGTGTCAGAGTGGAATTCCCAGCAGACGGGATGATGTTTTTCCAGCTTCCCGACAGACTACAGTTACGTAATTCAGATTCTTTATGAAGAAATAATAGCAAATTCACAGGCAATGAATATTAAAGTGTTCAATTAGATGAAAAAACTTCTGAAAAAATGTTTTTTGATACATTTTTTTTAATCACGCTTCAAAATGCTTCACTCAATAAGTAATGTCAAACTGTATATCTCATCACATATTCAGATAGAATAATTGATGCAGATTTATAATGTGTGTGCTTCAATAATTTTATCTAGGTGAAAATCAACTCAAACATCAATAACATGCACTTGTTTCTTATCACCCAGCATCAGCCTCAAGTCATATTATGACTGCATGTTTAACCATGCTAAAGTACCACTTTTTCATAGCAGAACTGTTTGCAAAATAAATAGCTAAAACAATCAATGCCTCATGCAGTGTAACAAAGAACAAGCAGCTGGAAATGTTCTTTTTTTAATCATGCCTCAAAGTGCTTCACTCAATACATTATGTCAAACTGTATGTCTAATCACATATTCAGATGCAATAATTGTTTTAGGAGTGCTGTAGCTCAGTGGTTAGAGCACTCGTAAGTGAGAGACCCCGGCTGGGCGAAACCTTGGGCAAGATTCCTTACTCCACACTCCTGGTAATAATCCCTCAAGAAAGAAATAAAATAACATTGGTCACTTCAATCAATGGCTATTTGTGGGACACTGATGTGCGCAATTGGCTGCCACGTTTCGCCCAAAATATACAGTCAATTCACTTAACAGGATATTCTGTGAAAAGATAGAAGACGTGAAAAGCGCTATATCAAATGCAGGGATTATTATTATTATTTTGCAAGCTTGCTTCAGTAGTCTCAAATCTCCTGGCTGGACAAGGGAAAGGGGAAATCCATGTGGGTTCTTGTCTGTTATTACTATCAGTGACAACTTTTGGTAAATGCTCATGTGTGGGTACCGGGTGAGGAGAAGATGACATCTTTTTACTCCTTTTTACTCCTTTCCCTTTCATCTAATATGTTGCCTCTATTAGCACACTGGAGCATGCCTATTTAGATGAAGTCCTGGAGTGTGGGTGTCCAGTATTTTCATAGGAAAAACATTTTGCACTCCCTATAGAGATACACTGAGTGGGTTAGTCTCAAGACTCCTGGGGCGATTGGTAAATTCTCTATATTTGATCAGAGAATATGAATTTTGACCGTCCTCAGAAGATCAACTGTGGAAAAGTAACTTTTTTTTAGAAATAAGCAAGGTTATGGTGTAGAATTAACAAAACAAATATCTTTATGTAGTTATTAAATATTAAATTATATTGTAGGACCTTAGACAATCTTTCTAAACTTACCTCACCTGGACTGTGCAATGTGTTTTGCTAATGTTCAAAACTCTAATGAATTCAATGAGAAAGACAGATTTCCTCCACTCACTCCTTTTGAAAAATCATGTATTTTAAGCATCGTTTTATCTCCTATAAAAATATTGTATTTACCAAAGAAAAGTCTCCTACTGAAACAACAACTTACGTTTATATAGCGTCCTTCATGAGTGGAAGCGTCTTGGAGCAGTTAACAGTTTTGGAGCCTGTCGCCGAGCAGGGATGGGGGGATGGGGAGGAGGAAGTGACAATAAGCACAGTCAAAGAGAAAGGTCTTCAGTTGTGATCTAAAAGAGGGGAGGGATTAGGGGCAAGTCACTTAAATACAAGCCCAGTTTGCTCTGTCTAGTATTCTATTGCATTGCAAATTGTGTCATTTGTGAAATATAAGAATGGCAGAATTGTTGACCTGCTGTAGGCTTTTATTTATAATAGATGTGAGTCATAACCATGGGATCTTCATACTGAGATTTTGACATGACAGCCGAACGTGTGATATTTCCAGGAATATCTCTATTGCAAAAATATATTGCAATACAACTTGGATTGATGCTTGCCCTTCTCAGTGTTTGCATATCTCGTCACCATGGCAACAGTTCATAGCTGTGCTCGGAGCTGGTCTCAGAAGTTCTCTGACTTCAAATGCAAAATACTTAACTATTACTGGATGGTGGGTGCTTTGACATATTTCCCTTTAGGGTTTTGTGTGTGAAAATGGGTGCTGTTGCCAAGACATTAAATTAATGCCGGCTTTAATTATCACCACACATAATAATATTTATGGTAAATATCACATGATTCCCACTGAACAGAGTGTGAAACACGAACCAGCCAATAAATGGCAGCAACCCCTCCCACAGGGCTTGCTCATCCCCCATTACTGCTCTGATGCTGTAGATTTTTGTTTTTAAATTGTAGGCCCTATGGAGTGTGTTAACAATCATATGTTGTTGCTTTCTGGGCTGCACATCACACTCAACATCATCATGAACATACTGTTAATTAAACTATTAAACTTATTATCAAACTTACTTTTCATCTGTTTACCTAGCAGTAAGTAGGAACCCGGCTGTTATTTGAATGGTAGATTGCTTTCTGGGACAATAATCCCTTCAAATAAATAAATAAATAAATAAATAAAATATTTGGTCACTCAATTCATGACTCTGTGGGATACTACTGTGCCGCATTTCGCCCACAAAATATACTGTCAATTCACTTTACAGTATATTCTGTGAAGCGCTTTGAGGTGTCTCAGTGATGTGGCGCAATATCAAATGCAAGGATTATTATTATTAATTATTATTATTATGTATTTCATGCTAGACAGCGTCTTAGAGCAACAAGCAGTGGTAAATTACAATTTGCGCTCCTCAATGGTTTGCATACAAATAGAATTAACAGCAATCCCATTTCCTTATAACTGCACTTGTCTTTTTGTGGCTAATCTCAGTTTTTCTGGTTTCTGCCTCTCCTCCGCCAGTTTCTCACTTGCATTTTCCTTTTGCTTCTCCTCACTGTCTAGGTCAGAGAAATCAGAGTTACTCTGGAAGCTGGGGCAGAGCCATGCTCCTTGGCACTGTTGAAAAGGCTCTGTAGCAAGGAAAAGCTTCAGCCAGGAGAACAGTGTGGACATCCACAGCTCTGATGCAAGAGTGACGGTGAGCTCCTTTCATGCGTGTGCATTAGACAGCAAAACACAACACAACACAAACTATTGGCAACCGCAATAACTTTAATATATAATGAAATTAACTCTGCAAAAAAAATGGTTACTGATTGGCAAGTCACGGATTTCCAATTGACTTATCCCTGCACCATCTACACTGGACTATGACTTTGTTGGTAACTCTTTTATTCAAAATTCTGTACCCAAGAAATTCCAGCTCTGTAATACACTCAGAGGCCAAGGAGATCATTGGTAAAAGCTGTCGCACATCTCCTAAATAGTTTGGCTTTAAACCTGCCACCACTGAATATGAAGCCCACCTTCTACAATTACAGCCCTGGACTGTTTAATAGCAGTACCATTGTGCACTGGTTTGTAAGCTGAAGGTATTCTTATCTCTAGTTTCTGAGTCGTTTTCTCTTGGTAGGACAGGGGTCATTTCGAAAATGGATCACAGCACAATCTTATTCAGGAAATACAAGTCCTGTCTTTGCTTTCTATTCACTAATGTGGTGTAAATGCTTCCATGACGACGTTTATCTACAGGACCTTAAAATACTTATTGCAGATATTTATCATTTGTTCTTGGTGTCATAGCTTTAGTAGGATGAAGCAGAGCCAAGAAATTATAGAGATAAGTAAACAAGAGCGCAGAAATCCAGCAAAGGGAATGCTTACCAAGCTCATATCTATAATGCCACAACCAATTGTTTGTTAAATGATATGTGCTCTCACGGTATGAATGGGGGTATTTTCAGCTTTATAGCCAGTGACCACATCAACTGCGCTCATACGTTACTGCATATGACTCTGCTGCAGTGTAGTGCATTGTTATGTCTATATGAGTGTGGGGTGAGGGGTGGGGGTGGGGGTTGGGGGGGGAGGGTGTATTTTTTTTGTCTGAAATTGTTGTCTGAAAGGCTGTACTCTGTCCAGCGCCTTGGGACGTCCTCCCGGCGTGAAAGGAGCTATACTAATGTAATCTTGTTGTTGTTAAGTGTTAATGTTTGAATGATGTGTTGAAACAGGATTTTTATTTGCATTGGGAAGGCTGGTGATGTTTTATTGATCAGCTAAAAGTGCCAGCATTCTAGCCAGTTACTGAACCAGGCCTCTGGGATGGTGTCCCTCCCAAGGGACACCATCCGCTGACCGTTTAAAGGTGTCATCTCTAGTATGGCACTCTGGACCTGCACAGGGTAGCAAATGCTGGGAATAGGGCAACTTAGGTACAAATAGGCAAATACAATGACAGCATAGAAGAGGACCATTCAGCCATTCGTACTATTTGCAATGGTGTTCTATATTAATAATCTGTGCATTTGATACAACGTCTATAATGTCAAAATGTCTCAAAGCATTTCACAGGTGATTTCTGGCAAGTCACTGTGTGTTCACTACAAATTCATTGAAAAACACAGCAGCCAATTTGCCCACAGCAGGCCCTACAAACAGCCATGAAATGAATGATCAACGTATCTGGGGCAATGTTGGCCAGGCCATCAGGAGAAATTGCCTTTTCTGTATGAATAGTTCCATAGGATCTTTAATGTCCAAAATAACAGGCAGAATGAACCTTATTTCACATCTCATTCAAAGGACGTCACCTCCAACAATGCAGCACACCCCAGCAATACACTGAAGTGTCAGCATAAAGTGTAAGCTCAATTTTGACCCAGACTGACTTTGCGTAAAAGTTTTCTGTATTTCAGGACTATACCTGTTAATGATTGACCACTAGATGACAGCACAACGCTCCCTGTAAGTAGTTTCTTCCTTTTCGGATCCAAAGTCTGGTATTTTTGTTTAGAAATGATGTTGAATGGTACTGCACGTTGTAGGCTCGAGAATGACCTTAGTTTTTGTTTTAGTAAATATTTATTTTTCCAATTGATCTGTGAAAGAGGGGTGAAATCCGTGCTCTCTCTGCCCCAAAATGCCCAAAAATGAACAGAGACGAGAGAAACTATTTGTTGGGAGTGTTGGACTGCCACCTAGTGCTCAATAATTAACCACAGTGAGAGTTATGAAACACCGCAAACTTTCCCTTCAAATTTTCCTAAAGGGTTTGAACATGTATACATTGATCAGTATTGTATCCATTTTTTTAAAAACAAAATTAGGGTTTTAGAAACCACCATACTTCCTCTAAGGATAATGAGTCCATTTCTTCCTTGTACCATTTTTCATATACCAAAAGAGTTGCAATAGATACTTTTGCATATGAGGTACTTGGGCCTGCAGCCTTGCTCTGTACAAATCATGTTGTTGGTCACAGTCAGGCTTAGGAAATGTCTGCTCAACTCTGCCTGCATACTCTCCATGTGACGTGTGTCAAGTGAACCTTTTTTGAGCGAGCCCAATGGCATACAGTAATAATGTTCTTGTGCTTGAATAAGTGTCCACTGGTACCAACCCAGCAGAATACAATACAAAATTACATTTGTATAGCTCCTTTCACATCGGTAAGATGTCCCAAAGATGTGGAGCAGGCCAGAGCCTGCTGAGCAGAGGGAGAGGATAGGTTGATATGGGTCAGCAGATCGCAGAGGTAAGAAGGGCAAGGCTGTGGAGGGCCTTGAAGGCGAAGATGAGGATTTTGAACTCTATCCTCTGGGGGACGGGGAGTCAATAGAACCAGGCGAGGGTAGAGGTGATGGGGTCACAGAGCCTTGTGCAGGAGAAGACATGAGCTGAAGAGTTCTGGATGATCTGCCAGCTTGTGGAGTGAAGAATTGGGAGGGCCGACAAGCAGAGAGTTGGCGTAGTCGAGCCTAGATGTGATGAATGGAGAGCAGAAACATGTGGAATATGTTCTGCTCACAACCAGATAACTGCAAAAGGAATGCTAACGGTGCTCCTGAACAGGAGCATTTCCCAGCGAGTTCTGCTCTTTGAATTTATGCATTCTAACTCAAGAATGAAAGATGTAAATATTTAAGTATTTGAATATTTAAATATTTAAGATGTTTAAAGATTTAAAAAATTGGCTGACGCGTTTCGCCCACAAAATATACAGTCAATTCACTTAACAGTATACAACAAAATTACACTTGTATTGCGCCTTTCACATCGGGGGGACGTCCCAAGGCGCTGGACAGTGTACAGCATTTCAGACCTGAGCTGGGGTCAGGGGGGAGAACGGAGAGGAAGGGAAGGGGGGTGAACAATGGCATAGTCAAAGAGGAGGGTTTTGAGGTGGGACTTGAAGGAGGCTAAGTAGGGGCAGAGTGGTTGGGGGATGGTATTCCAGAGGTTGGGGGCAGAGTGGCTGAAGGCTCTCCCAACAATGGTGGGGCGGGTGGGTCGGGGGACGTAGAGCAGGCCGGATCCGGCTGAGCGGAGGGAGCGGGCGGGCTGGTAGGGTGTTAGGAGGTCTCAGAGGTAGGGTGGGGCGAGGCCATGGAGGGCTTTGTACATAAGGACCAGGATTTGAACTGGATCCTCTGAAGGATAGGGAGCCAATGGAATCGGGCAAGAGTGGGGGAGATGGGGTCACGGAGTTTGGTGAGTTGAAGCACTCACCAAGGACTCACTCACCCGTGAGTTGAAACTGAGGTATATGCTGTGAAGCACTTTGAGACATCTCGAAGACATGATAAGGCGCTATATCAAATACAAGGATTAATATTATTATTATTTAAAAGCTGTTGACATAAATAACAACAAAACTAATGGAGTTATTTTCATCAACGCACTATGTGTTTACTTCACAGCATCTGTCGCAATGCAAAGAATATTTTACATACTGGAATAATGCAGCATTATTATAGGGTCTATTTATGCCACTGAGGATTAGGATAGTTTATCACATTCTTGCTCCACTGGCTCCCAATCACCGAACAAAAATTGATTTCAAGATCCTCTCACTTATTTTGAAATCCCTTCATGCCTTCGCACCTCCCTACCTATCCCACCTGCTTAACCCCCATTCCACCACCCAGTTGTTGTTCATTTAATTGATGCTGTATTATCTCATTTTTTGTTGTAGAGTTTGTTCTGTTAGAAACAAACCTCTAACATTTCTTGTTAAAGCTGCTGTGCTGTGACGCAGGTGGTCAGACCAATGGCTGCTTGATGGAGAGTTGTGACACACTGCAGCTTGTATACCCAGTCTCTGCTGTTTATGTTCTCAACTGCACTACTCTAGGCAGATGAGGAGGAAAGGACACTTGCCTCGCCATGAGAAGGAATGATCGAAAAAAAATCAGAGAACAAGAGATGTGTCCAGGTCTCTTCTGCACAGCTCATTCATATCAACCAGCAAAGAGCGTTAAAGAAAGCGAGGCAGGCAGCTTTCTGCTACGGCAACAACAACAACAAGATTACACTTGTATGGCTCCTTTCACGTCAAGAGGACGTCCCAAGGCGCTGGACAGAATGCAGCATTTGAGACCCGAGCTGGGGTTGGGGGGGTAAGGGAGGGGAGGGGAAGGGAGTTAGCCGATGGCATGGTTGAAGAGAAGGGTCTTGAAACGGGACTTAAAGCAGGCTAAGGAGGGGGCGAGGCGGAGTGACTGGGGGCAGAGTGGATGAAGGCTCTCCTGCCAATGGTGGGGCGGGTGGGTCAGGGGATGTGGAGCAGACCAGAGCTGGTTGAGCGGAGGGAACAGGTAGGTTGGTATGGGGTTAGCAGGTCGCAGAGGTAGGTTGGGGCGAGGCCATGGAGGGCTTTGTATGGGAGGACCAGGATCTTGAACTGGCTCCTCTGAAGATAGGGAGCCAATGCAGTCAGGCGAGAGTGGGAGAGACGGGGTCACGGAGTTTGGTGCGGGAGAGGACGCGGGCTGCAGAGTTCTGGATTATCTGCAGCCTGTGGAGGGGGGAGTTGGGAAGGCCGACAAGCAGGGCATTTGCATAGTCGAGCCTGGATGTGATGAAGGCATGAACAAGAGTTTCAGTGGCCTGAGGGGTGAGATAGTGGCGGAGTTGGGCGGTGTTACGGAGGTGGGGGAAGGCAGAGTGGGTCATGGCTTGAATGTGGGGGAGAAA